AACATAAAGCATGGTCATTGTTGTGTGTGCGCGCAGTAATTGCTATCCTAGTAGCATTACCTAATATTGTGTCTTACTGGAGGTTGGGCCAATAGCATCATTCCTTTCATGCTAACTTACAAATAATCCACCACCCCTCAAGCCACCTGGCTGCCATATTCTACTTGGTGGAAATAGCATAATTAGAACTCTTAGGGGAAAAGCCTCCCACTCTGCGCGTTCCACTCTGCAACTGAAAATTGCAGCGGTGATTCTCATGAGTTTGGCTGTTCATCTCTATTTGCTTGTGTAGTCAGAGGAATTTCCAGGGCAGAACAGACTAGACAGAACAAGCCTATGGCTAAGGCAAAAGATTAGTGAAAATGTTACAGTCACAGTTTAGAGCTGCAGAAAGAGAATTCGCCTAGTCAATTCCTAACTCTGCCTTTGATCAACAAGTACTTTTCAGCCTGGTTTTTAAGTATCTGTAGACTTTGGATTAGATAATATAGATGTTTTGAGTCTGTATGGGTTTCAGTTGTTTGGATGTCAGCACTCTTTGAGTTGAGTTCGTTGTGAAGATTTAAATTATAAATTACAAAGAGGCGCAAAGAGGTAACTTGCCCAAAGGCACACAGCTAGTTAAGTGGTGGAAGCTTCTATTTGAACTCAAGCAGTTTGTTTCCAAAGCCTGAACTCTTAACCATTAACCTAACCAAACAAAAAAAACCAAGCCAAACAAAAAAACATTTCAAGCTTATCTTCTGTTAATTATTAAAATATGTATAACATACCATTATTTTTGATTGACTAATAGATAGAATGAGATTTTAAAATTTTCTCTTAGGTCCTCCTGTAGTAGTTTTGATTTTCTGCAAACTTCAACAGGTTTTCTTTGCCTGACAGCTCATTGTTTCCTATCAAAATATCCAACATCTCCTGACTTGTTCTTTCAGTGGAGATATCCTATTCTACCCAGACTCGGTTGGCTAAGTTAGCAATAGCTTGCGTTGGCTTGTCCTGGAGGCCCCGAGGGAGCCTGTGTTGCATAGAGGAGAAGATCTTCTGTCATCTTGGCAGCATATGCCTCTGTTGTTGGTTTGCATCTTTAAAAGAATATTCAAAGACCAGCACAAAAAAAGGACAGTTCCAGGGTCCAAGAAAGTGTATATGGAAAAAGTAGGTAGTTAGAAAATCAACTTAGAGTTCAACTGTTAGCAGCCATACAGCATCTTCTGAGGAAAATCCCGTAGTAATATATAATAGCTGAGAGGCAGAGGGACGATGCAGAAAAGCCAGTATTGTCAGAAATTATTACACAATACTTTTTTGACATACAAAAAGTTGTACATAATCAATGTATACAACCTCATGAGTTTGGAGATAAGTGTATACCCATGAAATCATCACCACAATTCATGCCATAAACCTATATCCATCACCTCCAAGAGTTTCCTTAGACCGTCTTACTGCTGTTATTATTTTTGTGACAAGAACACTTAACGTAAGATTTACCCTCTCAGCAAAATTTTATGTATACAATACAATATTGTTAACTGTAGGCTCTGTGCTGTACAGTAGATCTCTAGGACTTGCTCATCTTGCAAAACCGAAACTTTGTACCTTTGACTAATACTTCCATTTCCTATTACACATTTTTTAACTAATCAAAAGTTGGGAATGTCAGCCCGGGGTGAGAATTAGTAAAAGTTTAGTCAAACAGGACCTCTTCATTGTGCTTTACCTAAAGAAAGGTGACAAATCCAGGTGGCTTTTTTCTTTTGAATAATAAATCTAGAGAGCAGACTCCTTGCATGCAGAAACTTTGTATCTGCAACACGCACTAAGCATTAATGCCTGGTCCGTGGATTTGATGATGGAGAGACACCGCTTCGGCTAAGCCAAGCTACACGGTTACCTGAGGCAGATATGTGTGCATGCGTGTTTGTGTGGGTTTTACCTCCTAGTTAGGGACATAGAAATCTTATTATCAGTACTAGTCAGCTGGACATGGGGACATGGGAAGACACGACTGACGTTAATCTCACATTTTGTGTTTAGATACTCATTTTTGGCTTAGTGAAAAATGCCTCCGTGCAGGAGTGAAAACCATGTCATTATACCATTTAAATAAATATGGGATTACCTGATTCTGTACTGCTTTTTAATTAAGGAAGCTTTTTGCAATCCTCTCTTGATTATGAAACAATATAAATACTTCCTGTGCCTTCTGAGAAATAAGGACATACATATTCTTTCAATATCAATGTTTTGCTTATATTAGCGTAATTTGATGTTCTGTGCTTTCACATGAAATTTCCTGCTTGATAATTTAATAATGAAAAATTCAGCACACAGAAAACATCAAAGATGTTCTGAGGCATAAAGTTAAAAATACAATGATCCCATGTACTTCAAGGGAGTAAAGGAGGAATGGAGGTGGCTTTAAGGAGTAAAATAGTTGTTGTTGTTAAAATGTGTTGTTTTTCACAAATCATGGAAAAATGAAGATGAATGGATCCATTTAAAGTTATTATTTTTAAAAACAAAACAAAACCAAGCTCATAGATACAGAGAACAAATTGGGGGTTGCCCAAGACCAGGGGTGGGTGGGGGGTAGGAAAATGGGTGAAAGGGGTCAAAAGATACAAACTTTTAGTTATAAAATAAATAAACCTTGGGGATGTAATGTACAGCATGGTCACTATAGTTCATAATACTGAATTGCATACTTGAAAGTTGCTAAGAGAATAGATCTTAAAAGTTCTCATCACAGAAAAAAAATATTCTTTTATAATTATGTAAGGTGATGGATGTTAACTAGACTTATTGTGGTGATCGTTTCACAATATATACAAATGCCAAAATTTTTAAAAAGTTATTTTTGTATCTAGACACGTCACATAACCTCGCCTAAAAAGTGCACTGTCAAAGTTATGCTTAAGGAGTTTACCGAAAAAGAGATTCCATGACATCTACCTAACTTGTTTTGTTATTAAATGTGAAAGAGAACTGGTCATTTTGCCCTGAAAAGTAACCTCACATATACTTCAAAATAGCAACAAATCATGTATTTGCATTCTTTTAATCCATCCCTTTATCTTTACATCCTTTCCTGTCTATTTCTGTCTCTCAATGTTAGATAAATAGGGAGATGTAGAACTCCTTGTTCTCTCTCCCCCACTCCCAGGGATGGCCAAAAGTAGGTTTACAGTTGTTCCTATGGAATATAATAAATAATAATAAATAATAATGCAAGAATAAACTGCCTTGCATACTCACCTGTAAACTTACTTTGCCCACCCTTGTGTGTGTGTGTGTGTATGCCTACATTATATGCCTACATTATACTGTTTATTTAATCTTTATCCCTACATTATACTGCTTCTTTAACCTTTAGAATTATACCTAGATTTCTAATCTTCCTAAATTAAAAAAAAAACTTTCATTGTTCTCTTTGTAGTCTCCAAATTTTCATGTTCTACTCAAGTTTTAGTGCTAAAGTAAACAGATCATTCTGAGAGCAATAATTATCAGTAGTGCTGAATAACTATAGATTAATCTTTACATTTGTGTCTCATTATCGTCCGACCTTGAGGAAGTTACTTTGCTTTTCCTGAGTCTCTGTTTTCATGACTGTAATCTTAGGGTTACTTTAAGAATTAAATCAGAACATGTAGCTCTGCTGCCCACCTGAAAGGTAGCCCTCACCCTGTCTCCTTTCTTCCTACTCTGGTAACTGCTTTCATTTATACTTGTTCTTTTAGACCATCGCTCTCTTGAGTTTTAACTACATCAGTGTTATGTTTAGATATTTTTGGTTTGTATTTGTCAACAAACAAACAAAAAACCCACAAAAAATGTATAAATGAGAGAGAAAGTAAAAACACCAACCTAGAATGGGCTGCGTCTTGATGTCCTGTCGTGGAGGGAATCTTGGTGTAATCTGGATCAGATAAAGCAGAAGGAATTTCAGTGTTTGTCATGGAAAATGTGTCGTTTCCATCACCTGGAATTTAAATGATTTGTTTTCTAATCAGTTATTCCCCTGACATAAAACAATTCCAAACTATGTTGTTGAACAAATGTTAAGCCATATAATCTGTGATTTAGCATTGCTCTTTGGACATCCAGTATAGGAGCTGAGAAAATGCTGAATTGCCAAGAACCAGAAGGAAAGACCCTGAACTTTTACTTGTTTCTGAATTGTTAGTTGCATTGAAGCTGGTCAGTTGAATGTATTCCTTTGACACCTGTGATTTTTGGAAGTTAAAATTTTTATTCCTTGAATTTTCTAAGAATAGGAGAAAATGGTAATATTTTTGGAATTTACCTACATGGCTTTCACTTTTCCTGGCATTGAGTTGGATCTTCTGAGTTAAGCCATCCACTTTTCTCCAGTCAACATCCACTTTAATCTGGTTTGTGCTTTCCAGACCCCAAGTCCAAGTATGCATATAAAGATGAGGAAGGTCAGTCAGAAGCAAGATCCGAAGTTCTGAAGAGACTTATTTTGTGGCATCTCTTTTTAAAAAGACATAAAAGTAACAGGTATTTACTGGGGAGTAAACCCACCACTGTGGCTACTGCTACCACCAGAGCCATGGAATATATTTTTCATCATGTTAAGCTGGAAATCTTACCTTTTCTTTATTCCAGCTTTTCTCTCTGAGCCATCATAAGATGTCAAAACTTTTGTCTGAAAGACAATTCTAAATTACCAAATAATAAATGAGATAAAGCATCATCTAGATCCACCCGAAGAAGATATTCTGAGCCTCCAGGTATTTCCTTCCTGCCTGGGCGGATGCAGAATAGGTATCAGCTGGAAAAGATGTAATATACTGATAAAAACATATATGGAAGTCACTTTCTTATATAATATTTTTAAATGACTATTAATTATAGAGATAAATTATAGAGAGTAGTTCAGCTTTTAGTGAATGGTTAAGGAAATGCTCATAAATTTTGTTGCCGAACAGGTTTATTATAACAATGTTATACTATTAAAGTTGGAATATGTACTATTTAAAATCGATGATACATCAAGTAAAAAGACAGTTTTAAAATTTTTTTCTGCTTAAAACAATTTTTATTTTTGTTGAAAAAATACAGATACATTTTTGCTTTGAATTAAATTTTACATGGCAAATCAATTTTAGGTCCTCCTAAACAAGACTGATCTATTTTTGTTTCAGAACACAGTTAATTTCAGTTATTTCATTATATAACTTTTACTGCTATGGCCTTGTTTCCTCGGCAGTCTGACGATGCAGCAAAATTCCCATTCTCTGATAAGTTGTGTTTTGAGACCTAAAGTTAAAATACTTTGAGGATCCTGAGTACACTTTTGAACTTGGAATAAGAACTTGCACCCTTCTGGGTTATGACTCTTAATTTAACTCATGTATAAACAGAGGCACAGCTCAACTGTGTGTGCTAGATTCCAGAGAAAGCTTTTTTTGAGAAGCAAGAGAAGAGGCGCCCAGTGGTAACAGCAAGATCCGGCAGGCTGCTGCATGGGGTCAAGTGCCCCTCAACTCAAGACAAGTGCAATGCGGGCCTTATTACAGCAGCAGCCTTGTCTTGGAAGAAGAGGCTGCCTGCACAGCTCAGGGGGCCTTAGCACGTGCCTTCCTGATAGTCATCTGGGAGATGGAAGAATGCTAGACGTAGGACATTTAGGGGGTCTCTTTTCCTCGAGGTATCCTCAAGAGTGCACCCTTCTGGGTTAAAACATAAACACTTTATTACTTCGCATTCCATCTGAAAAAACAAATATCAGTTTTGAACATGACAAAAAAAAAAAAGAAAGGATAATTTTATATACAATTAGAGACAATGGAGCTGGACAATGACTTTGCAAAGACTCAGCTAAGACAATAATGTCGTTATCGATGTTATTAATAAGCAGGTGAGGTGGTCTCTATGGGTTAAAGGCTGAAGATCTTGAATGAGCAGAAATGACTCGAAGAACTGCATTGCTATCATGGTAACATATGTGAAATAATAGATCCTAAACCTCCACTAACTTAACATTGTTATGCTCAAGAATTATTTTGCTGTAGCTGTTTTATTTAAAAGGAATGAGGCTTAAAAAAAACACCCAGATGCTCCTGGTAATTCCTTTTCATGTCCTATTTGACCTGAAATACTGCTTATAATACATATTTACAAATTCCATCTTGTGTTATTCTAGTCAGAGGCCCCTTTTGCTTACAAGAAAAGCCATGTTTTGTATTTCCACAAAGTCTGTAGACATTGTTAACATAATAAACATCATGGCATGTCATCTGTAAATTATATCTACCCGCCTACATTTTAAAAAATAAGGAGCATTTTAAACTATTAACACAGGATTTGTTACTGAGAAGTGTGCAGGAAGGAGCTCAGCGTAAAACATTTCAAGATGATTAAAGAAACCCAAAATACTATTTACACCATACTAAACTTTCCTAAATGTTTTATGGTAAAATTGTCCTATTGTTAGAATATGAGGCGTATAGATGTAGCAAGTTTAATGCGTAAACCGACAGCCCTTAGCATAAGCAAAAGATGCACTTAGGGTCTCCCAGCACCAAGAAGACGGAAAAATTCAACTGTGACTAGTTCTTTTTTCCCCTCCCGAGCAGCTCAGAATGCTATAGCAAACGCCTTATAATTCTTACATCATTATCAATGATATAAGAAAAGGTGACAGACACAAGAACTAGGCTCTTGACTCCAAGTGCTTAATCTACTAAAAGTGCATTGCATTTTAAAATGATAAACACCTTTCCTTGGCACTGCAGAAGTAGAAGTATAAACATTGTTAGGAAATTTTCCTACCTAATATATTAAGATTCTTCGAAAAACATTAAAATTTACTGCCACTGGAATGGTATTGAAGAATTAAGAGTGGCAACATCTTCACTTTGGGGGTATGAACTAGTCAGTTTCAACTGTAATTATGATCACTTTATGAGAGTAGCAAGTAAATGCCAAATGAGACCGATATTGTGAGTCTTGCTATGCTACTATGGATAATTTGGTCCAAGTATCCTTATGTGGCCAGTATGTTATTCCAGGTCATTCTGGTCATATCAGACGGGAACAAGGATCTTCTGTATAGATCATATTACACGATCCTCGTAGCTCAGTCGACCCCTGTAAGAGGCTGGAACCACTGGGAATGGGACAAATCACTCTTTCTGTCATGAGGACATTTTGTGTGAGAAGTGGATCAAAGGCTGCAATGGAAGGTTGCACGAGGGAGCCAGAAGTCGAGTAAGTCTCTGTTACCAGGTAGCTACCCTGCTGCAAAGGGTCAGGGATGCAAATGGCTGGTTGGAGGACAGAGCCAGAAGCAGACAGAGCACAAGCTCCTTGACCTCCTGACGAGGTCTGGAACCTAGAGCCAGAAGCAGACAGAGTACAAGCTCCTTGACCTCCTGACAAGGTCTGGCACCTAGAAGGTTCTGAGTGCTGGATTTCTACAGTATGGCCACAGGATCCAATCCCAGAACCGCTGTTGTTGGTGGGTGGCTGAAATTGTTGGGCTTTGTCATCAAGGCCTAGGCTTATCTCTGCAAGTTGTTTAAATTTTGGGCCCAGCGAATCCAGAAAGCTCTCATCCAGCTCATCAGCAATAAAACTGCAGCAACCCAGGGAGCCCACAGGGGAACTCGGAGCACCCAGTCCTTCGTTGTCATAGATCAGCAAGCAGTCATTTGCTTCCTGACCATCGTCTTCCTCCGCACAGGCAGATGCTTTCTAAAGGTGGAGAAAAGTAGAAAAATGAATTTTAATAGAGACTCGATTGAAGAATATAATACCATTTATAGAACTCAGGGTTTGATCATGGATGTGTAATTTAGGTAATCCGTAGACATAAAGACATAGTCTTTGTACCAACAATCTTACAGACATTATCTGGTGTTTGGAGAGTAGTGCAGTTGACATTCCCTCAAAATTGGGCCTAGCCTAGGCTCATGTTTTAATTCTTGATTTTGAAGGCACTTACATAGATTTAGGCCTACAAAACAAATATGTACGAAACCTGGAGGTGACTCCTCCGTCCAAGTGTGAGGGTCCTTGTGTGTACGTGTATTAATGCATGTCTTTGCGTTTGAGGGTAGGGGGAAGGCATTCCACTGTGCACCATCGGGCAGCTCTCACACAGACTGGGGCCTTTGCCTGGACTCTGCAGCTCTTGTGGGAGCCTGTCCCTTAACTAGTGCTCACACCGCCTCAGAATACCCCAAGAATCCTCATCCCAAACAAGCCCTCCCTGCCACTCTGTCCTCAAATACAGTGTCAGCCTTCACCTGCTCACACAAAGGCAAGATCCTGGCACTTACCAGTTTGGATACCAAAACTATATGGGAGATCTGTTTTAGTGACACACCAACCAGCAGGCAAGCAACCTGCTCCCAAAGTCCTCTCTGTTCTTGTACCCTTGTCCCTTTATGGTTCTATGCGCATCTGATTTTCAATCAGATCCCTTCCCCCTTTTATTTTTGGGTCATTGATTCAACGGCTCTTCAACTTTTTTGGACATGGACTCCTTTGAAAGTGTGAAGAATACCATAGCCCTTTCTCCTAAAGATATATGCACGTTTTCTGACATCCTTTACGGTATAAGAAATGCAAAAATAAACTGCTTTGTATTTCTAAAGAGGCTGCTGCACATCCCGAAATGCAAAAGATTTTGCTGCCTGTTGCTATTCCAGTTGGAAGGATAAGGTGCCACTTGCTGTATTTTCTCACTTAGTGTCTATTTATACCCTTTCTTCCTTTTGACCAGCAGCCCAATGTTGGCAGCCATCCTAGGTTATCTATATTATTTCGGCAAAGAACCCCTATTTTTTTGTTATGTTTTAACAAGCTCTTAAAACAATGAACTGCAAAACTGAAATATAGTCAAGTAAAAAGACTTCTAATGTAAATGAGATTTCAGAGCCACAAAGTTTTCCACCAAATTACCTGAGAAAAGTAGGACTCCAAGAAACTCATGCTTATTGCTCCTTCGCCATACTCCTTATGGGTTCCTCCAGTGGAGTGCCTTGTTCGCATCGTTCCAGACTGTGCTGCAGAACAGAAGCCTATTCCAGTGGTGCCTCCAAATCCTGCAGCAGCTCCAGATCCCATAGCCGCTCCAGATCCTGTAGCTGCTCCAAGCTTGGTGGTCATTTCCATTCCAGAAGCTCCTTCTACCACCATTCCTCTGGCACAGGTATTTGTACAAACTTCTGAAAACGGGAGAAAATTCTGTAACATCTCATTTTTATTTTATTTTTTACTGGTCTTTGATATCCATGAGCAGTCATCAAGTAAAGCAAATCAGTGGGAGAAAACACAATTATATGACTAAAGGTGATAAGAATATCCCATAGCCTGTTATGTGAGAATAACGGAGGAGGTGAGAGTATAACAGAGGATATTAACAGATGAAACGGCCCTGGAAACATACTAATTGAAAAATATACAAAGTAAATGGATTTTCATTGACAACAGCCAGAAACAGAAAAGTAAATACAGAATATTCAGCACACAGCCATGGAAAGCTTCTAATGCAATGCTTGCTTATTTTCAGAGGGAAAAAAAAGGTAATGAAGCTGTCATATTGGCTCAATATGAAAACCAAAGAGGAAACATGTATAATGTAATCATGAAAATTAGCAGATGCTAATTTGGTGTCTTGGTGCCTGAGGAAAATTTAATGAGTTGTGACTGTTCTGCCTGCTACTTTTACATTACACTTTCATGGAAAGTTCTTTTTTCTAGACAATTCTTAATATAGTTTTTGCTATGTAGTTATAATAGGAGAACAGGTGAGGACTGGAATCACCAATAAAGGCAGACAGTTACATTTTTCAGGACATCTCATGGAAATTTTGTAGGCTGGATATTTTAAAACAACCTATTGCTAAGTATGGAATTAAGAAAAAAATTAATATTGGGCATTAATATTGGGCAATATTAAAATTTAATATTGGGCATCACTGTTCCTCTAGTTTATGCCTTAGTTGTGGCATTGAGATAATATGAATAAAATAGTTTTTGGTAAAGCAAAGAAATAAATTCACCTATATGACAACATAAGCGATCTTGCCCCATTAGGATTGAAATAAGAATTGGTAATTGGACTCAAATCAGGAAACTTCACTTTGGGGAAGGAAGAAGGGCAGGAATATCAAGGCTGTGCATGTGAGGCTTTAACTGCAAATATTACCAATGTTAAGGATAGTCAAAGTTGGGTGGTGGGTATGTAGTGTTGGTTATATTTTCCTTTACATTTTTCTATATGTATGAAATATTTTCTAATTAAAAAATTCATAATTGAGAGATATAGTTCAGTTTATTAAAGCTTGAAAAAAGTGCAACAAATCTTCAGATATTAAAAATGGTGGCATCAGTGGGCAAATGAACTTACTGAAGCCAGAGCTAGGCCATGGAAATGACTAATATCTTAAAAATAAACCATTTCATTAAAATGCCATTTCAATGGCACCATCTCCCAGCATGTGCACATATATGCAAATTATTAAGTAAAAGATTTAGAACATTTCTTGTTTTTCAATATTTCTTATTTAACTCACTATTACTTTCAAAAATAAATTTGATGTTCACTTACCAGAATTTTCCATGAAATCAGCTCCATTGGAGGTTATAAGTGGCACACAAATATTTGTGATTTCCTGCAAACCATGTTCAAAAAAGAAATACATTAAAATGACAACAGATTTTGTCACCCTTTGCAAATGGTGACATTACAAGATACCCAAATTCTTTCAGGAATAACCATTTTTATGACATCTGAAGATTTAAGGTCTTAAAAGTCTCCATTCATCTCAGCACTGACTCACAAGGGTACTTGAGGGTTGAGGAGTCTCTTATTTTTATACCCTGTTACCCCTGCCCCTATCTGAATATAAATAAAATTTTACTCTAATAAATGTTTTGCAAACTGGATCCTCACCTTGTCTTCAGGTTGGGCTCCTTCGATTCCCCATTGATGAATTGTTCCTTCTGAACCATCAGGAACTGGGATAAATCCAGCGTTTGTTCCTCCCCCAATAGGACCCGCCCCACAGTCACAAGTCAGCAGCAGAAGGGGGGCCACTAGCATAACGGAAAACAAAATATCAAAACATTTGAATCATTTGGAAATGATCTGACAGGATAATTGTCAGAAATGTTACAAATAAAATAAAATATTTTTAATATTTGTGGAAAGTCGAATAGAAAGCACAGCTAGTTTCTATAAAATAAAATTTGGTAAGTTAAACATAATAAAATTTGGTATGATTATGAAACTAACGGAGGCAAAGAGGATCCTTCTTGTGATATGTATATTGTTGTCTTAAAATAGGCACTGTTTGATGACTGATTTGAGAGAGAAAGAGAGAGAGAGAGAGAAACTTCCATTTGTTGGTCCAGTTATTTATGCATTCATTGGTCGATTCTTTTATGTGCCCTCACCGGGGATTGAACCCACAATCTGGCATATCAGACAACGCTGCAACCAACTGAGTTACGTGGCTGGGGAATAATTTTCTGTACTTTATGGTTTAAAAATATTTCTTAAGTTAATATTTAAATGAATGGGTTGAAGCAGATTTGACCATAATGAGAAATCATTTTAACTCTAAATATCTATGGTTTATAATAAATTAAGGAAGTGATTGTGAATTTATCAAGGATTTCTCTTATTTATACAAGAATTTACCAAGAGTTCTTTTAAATTAAAAATCTGATTTGATTCACAAGATTTTGATTTAAACCCAACTTTTTAGAAGCCTGCCTATTGAATAAAATACATTTTACTCCCATTGAAAAATAATACATGTGTGTAGTTTCCCTAAATGTGTTCAATAAACCTAATCATATTAAGTGTAGACGCTTTAAAGGGTGTGTGTAAGCTCTTTTGAGGAAGTGTTGGATTAAACAATAACATCTCAGAGGCTATGATATATTAATGTGTGTTGTAAAGCTCAAAGCCTATGATACTTTATATATAAGGTGTCCGTCCAAAAGGTATATTTGGAATAATTATGAAGGCAGTGTTTATTAAAATACATTTCACTTTCAAAATTGATCTATCAGTGGTTCAAATGTGTATACATTTTTTGGGGACACCCTATATTTTTCCTAGATTCATTTGTCCAAGGTTCTCTTTTTATTTTAGAATCTCATGAGACTTGAATATAGCAAAGACATTTTAGAAAGTGTCTCACTCATGGATAAAGTCATTATTCTGATCATGAATATTACTGGCAGTGTGTAGAGAGTGTTCATGCTTAATTTCCCCCCCCCTCTTGATTGATTCTCTGGTGCCGTTTTCTAAGTGTCTAACGTTTTTTATTACTTGCTTATGTCTTATGCTAATGTCTAACATTAATGACTATAGGTCATGACTAACATATATGACCTGCTTTGCTGTGTATGAATACAGGTTGTTGACAAGTGACATGTTAACTTTAAACATTTCAGATTCTTCCTGGAAATACCATTTCCCCCCAGCTTTGCCTATAAAACAATTAGAGAACGTTTCTTCTGCATTGCAGAGATGCATTGCCCGTGCAGTGGAAGGCCTCTGCAAATGCTGACACCCCGTGGAAAACAGAACGAAGCTCGGGCATACTCACACAGCAGGAGCAAAAGGCCAAGGAGTATAAGGCCGATGGCAGCAGGGCCCAGCCTCCCGGATGGCTGGTCTCCATACCTGGGCCCGGGCACTGGGGCTGCACAGGTGTCCCTGTTGTCACACTGACAGACCTCCAGATCCAAACTCTCTGGAGCCTCGCACTGCCTGTCTTGTCTGTCTGTAATTAGGAGGGAGATTCTGTACACTCCGGGGGGTAGGTGCTGCTGGGTTGTTGTTAGGAGTGCAGACGTAGCTGTAGAGAAACAATCATACAAATCAACGGTGGTAGAAGGCATCTTTTGCTCTTAAAACTACTTATTTTTGTTAACAGAACCAGAGTTGCCATAGACATCACTGTCACAAATAGTGGGGCTAATAGTAGGGTGAGATTTGAGCAGTTATGAGGGCCACCAGGGATTCAGGTGGGTAAACTGGGCCGCATGTCCTTCTGCCAGATGGGGCCATGTTCTCTCCCATGAAGACTCAGTCTGACCTTCAGTTTCCCCACAAAGAGGGGGAGGGCAGGCATCATTTAAATGCCAGCTGTCCCTCTTCTGGGGCTTATTCGCTCTCCGGTATGTCTGTATGAACCCCTTGACTCTTGTGTGGCCCTCTGACTTCATCCCTTCCGCCTAACTCCATGTTTCTGTGCTTGACTTACCAAGGCTGAATTTCTGCTTTGGCTGATGCTACCTCAACTGCTCCTGTCAGTCCTGATCCCATGATCCCAGTGCTGGTTGTATGGGATTCCCTTTGGTGAAGGCCTGTTGCCTATCTGACGCATGACCATTGATTGCTCTCCTTTCCCCATTCTCTAAGTGGGCTCTCGCAGCAGCTCTCAGTAGCTGCTGGGCTGTGTTGCTTCAATCAGTCTTTATCTATTTGTTTGTTTATTTTATATTTAATATTATTTTTAATTAGTTCCAGGTGTACAGCCTACTGTTGAATCAGTCTTGGCTCCACCTTTGTCGTTATGCCTGGTCCATCCAGCCAAACCACAGTTGTCTGGCCCAGCCTCACCTTAGCAGGTGTGTCTAGTGCCAGGTCCTGTCTCTCTCTGATGTTTCTTTTGCGGCCTTTTCATTGGCCATGTGTCTGGTAGACCCATTTATAGCTAAATGCTACATGCATAATTTGGAACTAAAACCTTACACCAGGGTCAGTAGGCCCTAAGAAAGAAGGCCACGGAGAACAAGATCCCTTTGGTGGCCTAGCAATGACTGATACCTATGACTAGGGCACCACAGAGCACATTTATAACTGGAAGCAAGATTGGTTCAGAAAAGTGAGTTTATTTACAAGGGATTTGAGGTGGCCTGAAGGTCACTATAAAATTCAGAAAGGGAGGAGATTCTTATTAAGCCTAATGGCTGTTTCTATGGGACTCCTGGAAAAGATAGGAAATGTAAAATGAACATAATAAAGGTTAGATGAAAAGGAAGGATGGATTAGCTCTTTCCCATTGGCTAATGGGCTTACAAATTTCTGTCCGTGTGCTCAGGATTCCTGACTCGTGACACACTAAGTAGCACTTCCTGTGAGCCCTGAGCAGGCCTACCCCTCCAGAGCTTCCTGCCTGTTCACAGCCTGCCCAGTAGGAAGTTTATGTATTCAGCAATCTGAACAGCTCTGCAATAAAATAGATGCCTGACTTCAATCTTATTTTGGTGTGCTCTGCAGGTAGAAATAACATATTAAAAAAATTGGAGTCCACACGAAAACCAGAAAATATTAAATAGTGCTAACATCATATCGTATAATTTCTTTCCTCTGCTGAAAAGAGAAGAAATTCACGAGGCCAGGATGACATCTTCATTGCAAAGAATTTTTTTCAATTGCTCTTGAAAAGAACTTGCTCTCACATGAGCTCTCTTATCCTTTTGGAAACAAAAAGAAGCAACAACTTTGATTTATGGATGCAGCTGTACTACTACTCACCGTTAAGTGTTGTGATACGCCACACAACTGGCAGTTTTAGAGGTTGAGTCTCCAGTGAAAATGTGTAGGGGCCAGTATATTTATCAGTGTCCTGTGCTCTAGCTGAGACCACCACGGAAGGCAATGAGCTGCAAATTACACTCTTTTCGAGGACAATTGTTGGACAGTTTTCATGAAAACCAGGTACTTCAACATATATGGTGCCTGTAGACGTTTTACCCGTGTTTTCTGTCAGAAAACATTTTAGAATTAAAAAGATACACAGAACAAGTTGTCCAAAAAATGAACCTTTTCAATTCTCTTGCATGCAGTCAAGTTAGTGTGTTTTCTGATGAGAGAGATTCTGTTATTCTACTGTGATCTTCACATCTTGTAAAAAGCAAATTTAAATTTATGAACTTGCTTGGCATCTCTAATTTGTAGCGTTGGCTATTAATTTAATATGCTTGAAACCAAGACCTGTAAGGTGATGAATTCACCGATGACAAATGAAATCAACGTAAGAATAATAGTTTTCTTAAGTGCATCCTATTTTGTGATCCCAGCACTGTGTGAAAGATTTTTACTTCTAAAGCTTGAGCCAAAGTATTTGGAATAAGAAATGATTTGTTTTCGTTTCCTAGCATATAAACATTTATTGAAGAAAGTTTATTTGTTTGTTGACAATCAAAAACAATAAAATGAAATCTCTTAGTGGTAGGACTGAGTGGCTTCTGTATTTTCCCACTTTTTGTTGTTTTCCCAGATAATGTGATTTCTGGTGTTTGTTGTTTTGTTTTATTTTTATGTTTGCTTATTGCCTTGAGCAATAAGTACACTCAATGAATAATATTTTTCAAACATTCCAGAAGATCTTATTGTTTAATGATATAAGCACACGAGGCCTCTATAAAGAACTCGTTCTATAAGCAACTCAAAGGCACCTCACATTTGAGATGCGCTTCCCTGATAAGCTTTCAGTATCAATCTTCATCCATCCTTCTCAAAACCAAAAATTCTGGTGGGTCTAGAAATTCCTGTCCCACCCGTAAGCAAACCACAGAGACAGAACACAGAATTCACTTGTACTACAAACTCCACAGAGGTGCTGGAATGCTCAGTCTTCTAGATTCAGCTGCCTCAGACTTGAGACCCAAGGCCCTAAGATCATTTATCTAGTGATAAAGGTAATTTGTTAAATAATCATAATCATCTATTCATAACTAAGTACAATTGTAGTGACATTTCTCTAAATATGGTTGAAATGTTTTTCTTACCATCTATGGCCAGAACCTCAGCTGTGATCGTCTTGTTAACTATGAAAGTAGAATCCCGAGCGATGTTTTTTGCAAATTTGATTTCAGCAGTTTTTGAATCAATAATTAGAAAACCACCATCGTTACGTCCCAGGACATATCTAGTTTACAACAGAAAAAGAGAATAGTTTTCTTTCAAATATGGAATATTGCCTATTTAATGAAAATGACTCATTTTGTATTTAATGCATTTATGTTGAATATAAGGCATTGAAATATGCTTTTATAAAGAGCAGCAGAAAATTAACAAATTAGTATGGACAAGCAGTATTTTATAATCTTTAAGTATGTATTAGCCTGTTTTTTCAAATTTATGCTCTGTGCGGTAACCTAACTCTGTCCTTGCTCTTTATAGTACAGTAACTACTTTTGCATGTGCTCGTAGGTTTTAGGCATATATGTCTTTGTATATAGTCTTCTTTCTCATTGCACCATAGCCTTCTGGTGAGCTTCTACTCTAAGACTCAATTGACAGTTTCCATGAAACTTTTTCCTGACCTGTCTAGACAGGCCACAGCATTTTTCTTTTCGGTTCCACTTTAACTTATGCTTATGTTATCTTTGCTCATAGTACAATATCGTCCAACGATTTAGCTACATATCTCTTCTCCAGTTACCAGCTTCTTAAGTTGGTCACCTTGTATATTTTTGTATTCTTGCCCTGTAATAGTTTAGGTGTTATTTTGTAATAATTTGTAGATTAAAACTACATTAAGAAATAATAAAATATTATTAAAATAATCTTACCTAACATTTGAGGCAACTTTGCCAGTGTCTTCATCAATGGCTGCATACGTTCCCAGGATGTAATTGAGCAACTTTTTACTACTTATGCCCTTCTGGACAGTAAATGTCTTGGAAGCAGGACGGAATGCAATTCCTTCTTGCACATTTATAACTTGAACTGTGACCTGGGTTGACTGGACTCGATATTGAGAGATTACTGATCGGTGGAATTCAGCTTTGTTTTTGACGGCGATACTAAATTGTGCATTCTGTAGTTGCTCGTAATCGAGAGGCTAGAGTAAAAATAAAGTTAGAAGAAAAGAAGTGTCACAAAAATATGGCCTGGCATACCCATAACAGGACAAGACAACTCTAATGTATATGCTACAACGGATCCTTTTATTTTTATAAATAGAAACAGAAATAGCAAAATAGTTTCAGAAATCACTGTAATGTTGAGATAGAGAAATCTTTAGAATTCTTAACTCATGAACCCTCAGTTTGGTGATGATACTTACAAAGCAGGATACATCTTTTTAGACTAGCAAAACATCATTATAGTTCCTGCAAGCTGTGTGGTGCAGTGGAAAGAACCCAAATTTGTTATGGCAGTATGGTTTGAATCCTGGTTCTGCTACTTACACTCTGTGGGACTCAGGGCAAATATTTAATATCTCTGCTCTTCAACTTTCCACTTCTGAAAAAACAATCCCTTATCTCATCAGATTGTTGTGAGAACTGAACAAATTAAGGCCCATAATACATTCCTATAAATGGCAACTCTGACCATTCACAAAATAGTCATTGGATTCATGTGCAATAATGTCTTTTCTGACTTTAAAAATTCTTACGTGGCAAAGGTAACCTATCTTCATAAACTTGGTTGGCAAAGAGGCCTCTGTAAAGCAGCAAGTGGCTGGCCCATCAGCTTTTTGTAGAACTCTTTGCAGATGGTCTTGCATGAGAACTCTTTGTTTGACCCTCTTTTGGAGGTGGCCCGGATCAAAGCCTGAGGAATCCCAGGATAGCCTTTTCTATTCACTAGTAAATTTTTTGAGGGTAATAAGATAAGGAAATGCTCATTTTGGCTACATTTGTGTGTTCCTGAGAATAATTATAGTAAGAGGTCTGGATTTTAGTGTTAACTTTGCAATGACTGATTCTATGGGCTCAAGCATTTCCTAGTGGAGAGGAAGAGAGAAATGTGTAAATAGGTCATTATAATACAAGGGGTAATTGGTAACAGAGATTATAGAGTCTACATGCAAAAGAGAGTGAATACCTGTCCTTGAGAGAGTTAGGAAAGGCTTCTGAGAGTTTTTCATGTGAGCTCAGTGTTCAAGGATGAGCAGGAATTGTTCAGGCAGAGCTGAGAGCACCTGCCAATGCCCAGAATTACAGAAAGTGATGAAGAGTGGGCTGGCCGCCAATGATGAGAGGCCTCACCTGAGGAGGGTGAACCTCATCTTCAAGGCCAGCAGGTGGTCGTCAACCCTGGATGCCTATTACAGTCTCCTGAGGAGCCTTTAAGAACCGCTACTAGGGTTTCCCACAGATCTCTTGTATGTTTGTGTCTCTTTTTAACTTCATTTGTAGAGAGGGAACCAACAGTTCTCACATGCCCACTGGCTAGGAAAAGTAGGTGATTCAAACGAGCAGTCAGGGTTGAGGGCTACTTTTACAGCCAGTGGGGGACAAGGAAAGGTTTTCCAGGGGAGAGTAACTGATCCATATTGGTTTTAAGAAAAACGTGGTAGTGGATTGTTTTGGCAGCTGGAGAACAAAGGGAGGTAGAAACAGGAGGTAGGGACATTTACCAAGAGGGTTCACAGGCACATGGTATGGAGGAGGCAAGGGTGGGCTAGAGCAAGGCTGTAAGAAGGGAGACTAGGGCTTTATTTTAAGGACAGGTTCTAGGGCAGACTTTGATGACTGGCTGTAAGTTGTGAGGAAATGCCACAATGAAAGGACAGGCCCAGGTTTCTAGGGCCAAAATGTAGGAGACAGGGAATATCTCATTCTTAGGTACTACTGGGAGTTTATGACAGAACTCTTGCAATTGAGGCTGGCTGTAGCCCACTCTGAAAAGCAATCCAGGATTCAGCAATCTCCTTGTTAAAGGGATACTATGGGTCTATTACTCTGCTAGACTCAAGAAATTAAAGAAAGAAGCTCCACTATCTTATTCCAACCAATGTCCTCAAGTAGTGGTTATTTTTTCTAGTCTATACACTATCCAGGCAGAAATACCCTCCTTTTGTTTTTTCTTTTTAAATTTTTATTTATTGGTTGATTTTAGAGAGAGGAAGGGTGGGGGGAGAGAAACATTGATTTGTTGTTCCACTTATTTGTGCATTCATTGATTGATTCTTGTATGTGCCCTGACTAGAGATCGAACCTGCAGCCTTGGCATATCCGAATGACAATCTTAACCAACTGAGCTACCTGGCCAGCACTCAGAAATATCCTTCTGTTATTCCGGTTGGTGGTTTCTGTGTGTGTGTGTGTGTGTATGTGTGTGTGCGCACGCGCATGTGTGGGGGAGTCTATTGCAGCCAAGCATATAAAATGGAAACTTTACTCAATTACTCATTTTTCATCCTGTAGCTCTAGTTATATATTCCCATTTTCTAGAAAAAGTTGCCTCTTTACTCCCTTGACAACTATAGATAATCCATTTAAAATAAGCTGACAAATTCAAAAGCCACAATTCCATGTGTTTGTATTTCTTCCTAGCTTCAATTGTAGAGAGGGGATGAAATTAAGTCAAGAAATGTGTTTTACTTTCTTGTTTTTAAATCAGGCACACCTATAAATATGTGTATATTAGTGTGTTTGTGTTTACTACAGACAGTATGGTAGCTTGGAAGGAAAGAAATCAACATGTTAAAAAAGGCTGTCCTTAAGTAATGGGGCTATGAGTGTGTTTTTAAAATTTTAATCTACTTTTATGTGTTTTCTAAGTTTTCTAGAAAGAAGTGGTATGATTAATAAGTACATAAAGTTTATTTGTAGAAATGATAGTTTTGGGTAATAGAGAATGCTTTTTGCCACTTAAGGGAAATCAGACCTTACCTTAACCACCTTCAGGATGCCTTCATTAGTCCTGGGATCAGTTTGTATTTCAAACCAATTCCCTTCATTTCCAGAGGTAAAAAAATACTCCGCAAGCCAATTATCTGTGAACTCTTCATCCAGATCTATTACTTGAAATCGAAGCAACTCAGAATTTAAAGTATTTTCCTTAATACTTACTGAATACTAAAAAGGAAAGAAGTAGAATTTAAGATTAAATGTCAGGTTTTATCAAAAGGGATTATATTTATACTAAATGGTATTAATCATTAATTCTTAAGTTGTGTTGCTTCCTTGCCAGTTACTGAATTCTTATATTTTACAAAAGCTTATTTTTTTAAAGAAAAGTGCAGAGAACTTAAATAGAAGCCAGTAAGCGGGGAAATGCTGAATTAAGTTGGCAAAGTATAAAATAAAACATATATAAAAATTATTCTTGAAGGAGTGAAGGGTGTACCTGAGATTCTTTGAACACTGGGAAATTGTCATTGACATCTTTCACTTTGATACTACTTTCACATTGACTCGAGAGGCCCTCTCCATCTTGGTCTGCACCACTCACAATCAGATGATAGCTGCTAACTTGCTAAATTTGGAGTAAAGAAAGAAAAATATTTAATCTTTAGTGCCAAAAATATGAATGACAACTACCTACTTCCTATGAATAAGGGGGGGAAAATATTCAAGTTCATGGTTTATTGGATCGTGTGCACTGTTTACTATTCATCATAGAGGAGGTACGTGGGGCTCTGGATGGTTGGTAGAAGTCTTTAAGGGGCCAGAACAGATTTTCCCTTTTGTGAGCTTCTAAGGCCAAGAAAGTACAGTTAGAACAAAAATGGGCAGTGATGATGATGGGGTGCTTATCAGAAGGAAGCTCACTTACAGAGTTTTCCTGTCGGTCTACTCAGAAAATCATTTGTATAAAAGTAGTATGGAGTATGATGGGGTAGTCTATGGTGATGGCGGTGTGGTGGTAGGATGAGAGGGAAGGGAGAGGAGGGAGATTCTTTAGTGTTCTGGAAGCAGGGGGTAAAATTAAAAGAAGTCAGGAGAAAAAGTGTTGACATCAGAGAAGGCTTTTTTCCAGATAGAAAATTTTCCCTTTGTCTATGAAATTTCCTTTTCCTCCATCATATGAGGAATTAGTCACAGTTGGTCTTTGTCCATGTATGCCAATGCCTTCTTTTACTCTCCTACTTTAGTGCCCACTGGTATACTGATACTTATTTATTGAGGGTACAATTGATTGTGCAGGTGCCAAGTATACTCCCATCCCACTGGAATCACATTAGAATGCAAACAATTTCCCTAGATTGGCCCAGTTGGGTATTGGGAACCTCTTTTCCTTTCTCTTTTCATACTCAGGTAAAACAGAGTCACCTCTTTTGACTTTCTTAAATAAAATCCTTTACTTTCAAATGCTCCCAAGTGCCTTGCCTTACCTCTCGATCAAGAGAATTGGTCAAAGTACGGATTTCCCCAGTGTTTCTGCTAAGGAGGAACATGGGTGCGCCTGCAGGTTCCTGAGAGATGATTTTGAAAGCAATTTTAGAGTTCATATGGTTTGGTTCATCTGCATCTGTGGCATTAAGTATCATCACCAGTGAGTCTAGGAATACAGAAGTTCATTAAAGAATATATAGCCATTGATCTTATATTCACATTAAGTATTCAGCACAATTTCAAATTAATCTTTGTTTTTTAACATCTTATAACTATACGTATGCTCAAAAAATATTACATGTCACTTGCTTTCTTAATCAGGTAGAACTGTACTATCTTCCATAAAAATGTTCCAGTTTTCCTTAAGCTTTGGCTGTGCTGGGGTTGAGTGTATTTTCTGTCTTTATTTCTTCCCTTGATAGATGGCCTTGTGATTCTCCTTTTTCCCCAGATTATCCAAGTAATGTGAGTGCTTGTCTGTCCCTTATAACCTAAAAAAGCCCTGAGGATGCACCCAGGCTACCTAAGACCACCTCTTTAGCTTTGTGACTGCTGGGTACTCATGTAACTTGTATGTATAGAATAAGGTACTATTGACCTCATAGCAGAATCACACCTAGAAAGACAATGGAAGTGAATTATGAGCTCAGCTACAAATGTTAGAAAAAAAATTCAGGTTATCTTTATGAGTTTTTCTGGAAAACTGATGAAACGAAGAATAAATTAGCTTATAAAAAATGATGTGCTATAGTGACACTTGCATTTGAAAAATTTAAAAAAATTAGAAGTGGTAGGTACTGTAAAAAGACTTACTTGAAGGACTATTTTCTTCAATTTCGCCCATGAATATACTTTGTGAAAATACTGGAGGGTTGTCATTGATATCTAAAATTTTGACCGTTAATATAAGTGGTTTCTCTACATCTTTTCCTAGGGCATTTAGAGCGTGACATGTGATCTAGAAATAAAAGGGAAAATGTTAATTCTCACTCAACAAACTTAATTTGCATACTATGATCCTGCCCTGGCATGTATAGAACTTTTGTGCAAAGGAGAAAAATATTTCCCCAAAAAGTAGACAAAGTAGGAAAAAGTGCCCACTCCCGGCAGACCCTCTGGGCTAGTCGCCCCTTCCCCCAGGCTGACACCCTTGACACGCTGCATGAGAGCAGCTTAGCACTCAGGCACATCCTGGCCTGTTCCTCCAGGGGCATGGCCATACGTGGAGGCTCTTTGCCGAGGGACTAATGTTATTTGTTGGTGGATTGATTCATGCACTGATCTCCCCTCTAAATTAACCAGTACAAGAGTATCATCTTCTAAAGCCACGGTGTGTGAGGGGGAAAGGGTACCCAATGTTGAAGACGCTACTTACGTGGAAATATGGGGTTTTCTCACGATCAACTATTTTTGTTATGTTAATTTCTCCAGTTTGTTTGTTAACAACAAAGATTCCCACAGGGGGCTGATCAATTCCCATTCCAGTAATTCGGTAGGTAATCTTCTGATTTACGTGGAAATCTGAACTAATCTGCAGCCAAAAATACCCAAAAATGTTAAGATGATCATCACTCAGGCTTTTTCCTTCCCTCTTTATCTACCACTTTTATAGTCTTAAGTCATCTGTTCATTTCATTCACTCTTTCTGACACTGTGCTGTTTACTTTTTACCTAGGTAGATACTAGAAATATGATTGTTCTAGTTGTTGTTGCTTCTGTTGACTAGCACGGACCAATATACATTAAATATTTTGGCTTTAGAACATTTGCTGAGATTGTGGCCACCATGTGATGTTAAAAGGTTGAGAGAAAGTCAGAGACACTTAATATTGACAAGAGTACTTCTGAGACACTTAATATTGACAAGAGTACTTCTGAATGCTCCCTTCCTTAACAGTTAACATTTAAAAAGGACATTTATTTTAGTTTAAATAGGGAGAGCTGGAGAGAAAAAAGGGAAGGGAATTACATGGCAAGTATTAAAAATATGAATTAAAATGTATTGCTTTTATTATTATTATTTTTAAGCTTTTTAATAGGGAAAATTTCAAAGATATATAAAGTCAGAATAGTATAATGAACCTGATATAGTTTATCAACCAGCTCCAACAATTAAGAATACATGGTCAACCCAATGTTGACTCCCAACCATTTTTCTAATGGCCTTATCCATAAATTTTTTTCTATTTTCTAGAATCTGGATCTAAATAAGGCTTATCCATTGAAATTGGTCCATGTGTCTTTTAATTATTTTTTATTACTCTAGAGACCATAGTTCCTTTATCTTTCTCCACCTCTCTTATTATTATAATTATTTATATTTTTTTGGTTGTAGATATCAGGTTATTTATTCTTTGGACTCCCAAATCTGCAGTTTGCTAGTTGGAATTACCATATTATTTTAATTTACATCTAATACATTTATTCTAAAAACTCACACTGCCCCTGCTCATAGGACTTACTGTGGCAATGGGGTTTCTTTTCGAGTTGTCTTCTTCCTCTCTGCAGGGTCTTGCAAATTTCACCCATTCACGTTTATATCTCCTTTTCGCTTGTACTGCTGGCCCATTTTCTCCATGTTGTCCTTTTGTCTTCTGTAAAAAGAGATTCCATTTTATCATGTACATCGTTGGACATTTTTGTTTTGAGAATTGGTTATAGACAAACAGATTGAGGAGCCCCCTATATTTCAAGATATCTAAGACTGTTAGATGTCTAAGTTGCTCTGCCTCATACTTTGTCAAAGAAGAAACATTAAATAACTAAAAGAATGACAAGCTATGTGATTTTTAATATAGCATTTAATTACGTTTTATATTTTCTTTATATATTCCACAATACCTAACTATTTCGGTCACATAGGCCCTGTTTCATTAAAACCTGTTGATTTAACACAAGGACAATGCATGAGATAAATGACATGAATAACATTTACACATTGCTGGTATTTAAATATTATTGGGTTAGTTGTTAAAATTTTAATTTATTTTCACAATTTAATTGTTAAATAATTTAAAACATTTAATATTTATTTTCCTGAGAACAATTTAAAATTTTAAATGAAACTATTATTTTAATTACAAAAAAACTTTTCATACTTTACCTCTATTCTCATTTCTCCATGAACCAGTAGGACCACCTGTAGACATTTAAATAAAGTAAAATTAAATGTGAATTTTTCAAATAAGTACTAACTACTTAAATAATAATCCCGATATTTGCATTCTGCTGTTCATACTATAGTGTGTTTCTATTTTAAAAAAAAGTAGATTTGGAAAAACAGTATTCAAAGGGTAAAATCCTCCCAGGAAAAAGAAAATGCTCTTAATATAAACAAGTTCTTCTAGTTCTTTAATCTGACTACAGGATTTTAAAGATATACAGAAGAATCTGTTGGTTTTTGAAAATCTCTTTTTAACAGCCAATTATAGCAACCAGACATTTCAAATCTGGCTATTCTATAAATGTTTCCCAGGAGATATGGGAATTAATGCTTTGGCAAACAATGACAATCATCATTGTGACAAACTTCAGAAAGTTCCATAGGCGATTATTAAAAGTTGTGACCTACTCAACTGACTTGTACAAAGGCAATTCTGTATTAGTTAGCTGCAGGGTAAGGCATTATTCTTAGTTGTTCAAGAGTGAATATAATGGAACGGAACTAGTCTGGTTTAGAGAATGGAACGTAAAAGATGGGGTTATGCTATTTCAATCACAAGCCCTGTCTGCTGTGGGACACAGATCTGCTCATCTCTGCCCTATTCAATTTAAATATGGAGCTGATCTTACTTATCTGAAATAATTAAATAAGGATAATATGTGAAGGCAGGCAGGCTAGGGTCTTTACTTTCTCAAGAGCATATGGGACCTTCATCTTTGTCATTTTCCATCTTGTTTTCTACCTGGAATGCATTCTTCTTTGCCCTTCACCCACTTAAATATTACTCATCTTTAAGATCAATTTGAGTTCCAACAACATCCGTGAAACTTTTTACTGATGTCTCCTTTTCTGTGTACAACACACATTCTGAACTATGCAATTTAACCCATAATGCTTTGCCATGATTTATTATTTCTTATTGTTTTATGTGCGCTATAGTGCTAAACCAAGAGAATTGTAAGCTTTCCAGATCAGTGCTTTTATATTATTATTTTTTGCAACCCTTACAATGTCTGCTTCTCAGCAGATGTTTCACAACTATCTGCTGATCCACTGATCACCTGATAGGGGAGAGATTGTGAAAAATAAATCAGAAGAAAAAAAGTAAAGTAATAATACTAGCTAGTGTTTATTATGGTTGTGTGTCAGTTGCTGTTCATAGAGATTTATATGTATTATCTTAATACTTAGAGCAGCCGTCGGAATGAGGTTCTATTATTATAATCCCTGTTTTATGGATAAAGAAATGGAGACATTAGAGAATGAGGACTTTGCCCCAGCTAACAGACGTAGTAGAGCAAGGATTTGAACCTTGGCAGCCTGACTCCAAAGTGCAGAGATCACCGCTACATTGGATCATTGGCTTCTAACCAAAGTAGGCATAAATAAATACAAAAAACTAGTGGTAGAGAGAAAGTTTTATAATAGTCAGTTTAGATTTTTTTTTTCCTGGCAAAGGCTGGGGGTTATTTTTGAAACAATATAGATTTATTACATTGCTTATTTTGGAAGATTATAATACAGAGTTACATCTAAGTCTGAACCAAAGGAGTAACTATATCAGACATAGGATGCCAGGGCCTTTCCATTCTAAAAAATTCATTGAAATTTTTATTTCCAAGGGTGTGTGTTCAAATTGTCATGAAAAAGCCATTCCGTATTGTTATAACAGGTCTCAAAATGATTTTTATAGCTTTGCTGCTCTTTGTTAAACACTATCTTGAGTTACGTGGGAGAGAAGACCAGAGCAATGCAGTAATTGTATGATTCCTTTCTCAGGGGAGGAATGGGCCAGGCACGCTCCCTTTTACAGGAAAAGTGGGAAGAGTCATCCAGAAAATATGAGTCGTGTTCATACTAGCTCCACGGAAAATGGTTCTTCCAATAGACACTGAAGGACAACTTCTGTTTTCCTGGGAAAGTAGAGGAAGGACAAACCCTCAACCATGGAGAATGAACATTGCAGACAGTTGTTTCTTGTTTGTTCAATCTTTTCAGAGAATGGAAGTGCTTAGAGAAGTTATTTAGTCTAAAACTTTACTGTTTCTCATCCTCTCTTTTAAAATCAAGAATGTTCCCTAATTTTAGGAAGTATTGTGAAAATGTGATTATTTTTGCTCTTCTAGGAATATGGGGTAGCTAGTAAAAACCACTTCTAAATTTTGAAGTGCTCTTTAGACATTTAGAAATATAATTGTAGCCTTACATTATTTAGAATAGTGTTTTTAAAAACTCAATTATTTTAGTTAATACATATCTGTGGCTACTTACTCATTTTAGTTAATTTGCTAATATAATTATTTTTAACATTTAATAACTATTTTGGTAGTTTCCTGACAATAAAAATCAACTAAGTTGTCTCTTTTGCTGGCCTGGATTGGAAATACCAATGTGGAGAAGGCACTTCTTGTCTTGAGAATTACTACACTTTTCTTTCCTCCTCTTGTTTCCTGGCTATTCTGATAATTTTGATTTTGTAGTTTTTAAAGTATTGCTATGGCATAAATACCTTAGGATAGCTAAGAATTAGAAATATCTTATTAAAATCAAATCATATTAAATTAATAAAATAGCATATAAAATAAACTGATTTGATATCCATATTCCTTATTTACTAATTAAAATGTATATAGTTATATCATAAAAGTTTGAACTGAATATGGTAGATACACAATAAATACATTTTGAGGATATCGGTGACTAGATTTTTAAAAGCCATTTTTAATAACAACTGCTACTTTACTTAGTTTGGCTCTAATTTTATTAGGAGTTACTTTATGACCACATATCTATCTATCTATTATCTATCATCTATCTATCTATCTATCTATCTATCTATCTATCTATCTATCTATCTATATCTATCTATCTATCATCTATCATCTATCATCTATCATCTATCATCAATCATCATCTATCATCTATCTATATCATCTATATCTATCTATCATCTATCATCTATCATCTATCTATATCTCTATCTATCATCTATCTATCTATCTATCATCTATCATCTATCATCAATCATCATCTATCATCTATCTATATCATCTATATCTATCTATCATCTATCATCTATCATCTATCTATATCTCTATCTATCATCTATCTATCTATCTATCATCTATCATCTATCATCAATCATCATCTATCATCTATCTATATCATCTATATCTATCTATCATCTATCATCTATCATCTATCTATATCTCTATCTATTATCTATCATCTATCTATATTTCTATCTACATCTATTATCTATCATCTATCTATCTATTAATCTATCTATCTATCTATCTATCTATCTATCTATCATCTATCTATCATCTATCATTTAACTATCTATCATCTATCATCTATCTATCATCTATCATCTATCTACCATCTGTTTTTTTAAATTAAATTTATCATCCCCCTTAAAAAATTCTAATAAACTTTGTATTCATCAAGTCAAATTTCTTACTTGAACAAAAATAGCATGTTTATTTCCTTGAAATTCTTATTTAATTTAGGACAATTCAATTTCAGTAACTGAATTTTAGAGTAAACTCAATGTACTAAGTTAAACCTTGTATTGTGATGGAGATGCTAATAAAAATCAATCCCCTTGGATATTCTCAAATGCTCATTTTAAATGCTGTATCAGTTGCAGTCAAGTATAGTAGTAAAATAATTGGACCCTGGATCCTGAATCCCTGAATTAAATCCCAGTCTCACAATGGACCAGCTGTATAACTTGGAAACATTACTTAATTTTCTAGTTTTCTCATCTTCAAAATAAGGATAATAATTCTTGTGAGGATTCAATGAATTAATAGATGTAAAGCGCATAGATGAGCCCTAGCCCACGGGATGTGCTTAATAAGTGTTAATCACTTCTGTCACAAAACTTAAAAAAAAAGGTATAAAAGCCACTTTGATATGAAGTGATCTATTATTATTACTATTTACATCAATGTACATAAGAACTTTCTCTCTTTTGAGCATCAGAAAGAGACAAGGACCAGTTCCCCTCTGTACAATTGTGTAGTGTGTTCCTTGCACAACTCCGGGGGGAACTGTTGACACTGTAATTTATGTGAATGTACCTCTTGGAATTGTGCAGTGCACAGCCTGGCCAGCTGCACAATCACCATGTGAGAAAAATGTGCACATTAGACAGATTCAATTATTCATAGTATCCTTATAGATAGTAACCAGTTGCCCATGTATAGGGTGTCCCCCCAAAATGTATACACACACTTTGAATAATTATAAAGGCAGTTTTTATTAAAATACATTTCATTTTCAAAATTGAGCTATCAGCTATTAAAGTGTGCAGACATTTTTTTTGGGACACCCTGTACTTGTGATGAACTTCCCAAAGCAAGCCCTCATCTTAGGCTATCAGATTGCCTCGTAAGTGGAAAAGAAGAGTGAAAGGCTAGAGATTTACGAGAAGCCTAATGGGTACTGTGTGTTGTGGTTCCGGGTGAAAACCAGTTTCATGTGTTAGGTAAGCGGGAGTGGGAACTGATAGAAGTAATTACATCTTTCCTGACTTCTGCTCAGGCCGGGCGGGGCTGCCCAGAATTGCTCGGCAAGGTTATTCTGATTTTGGCTCTTAACCGTAAGAGAGGATCAGGAGGAATGTAATTTTCATACATCTGTTAGCACTGGAACCTGGATTGTTTCATCAATCAAGAGAAGAAAGGATACCTCAAAGATTTTCCTTCTGTTAAAAAGTTGGGCCATTTAGCCTATAATTTTTCCCTAAAATTTTACTTCTTGGATATTCTGTAGAAGAACGTGGTTGAAGATAGTTTCTCTGTATTTGGAGCACATTCTCTCAGAACTTGATATTTAAACTACTTCTCTCTATTTTTCCCCCAGCCCTACCACTAATAACTTTAAAACATTGTGCTTTGAAAATATTTGGATTTCAGACATCTCTATTAGTTTTGTAACGAGTAAATTTTTATATAATATAGAAACATAATGTTAAAAGTCTTATTGTCTAGGTGGTAATAGGAGTGCTATATGACAAATTGTGTTTCATATTCTGTGGACTATAAAACACTGAACAGTGTGTCCTTTGAAGACAAACATTGTTTTCAAAAGGTTAAGTCTCTGAAGATAAGCATTTTTCAGTCACAAAGCCTTTCCCCAAAATGTATATTTTGTATTGTGCAAAATGGATCCAAACAGGCACAGGAAACTGATAAGTAGTAAGCAGAATATTAAGCCATTATTAAGAATCAGCATAATTATTAAAATACTGCATTAGAGTCTCAGAAAGCACTTCATATTTTCCAAAGCACTTTCTTGTGTACTGTTTTATTCTCACTGTGGCCATTTTAATATTGGCAGGGGGCTATGATCATTCTTATTTGACACTTGAGGAAATAAGGGTGGAGTGAGTCAGGCATACAGGCGGAGGCAGAAGTCCATGACTTTGCTATTATATCTCACCTCTCTAGGCAACTTCTGTGTGGTCATGGATGATGGAATTAGTTCAAAACCTCCAAACATGTTTTCCCACTTTCAGACCCCACCCTTCAACAACAAAAGATGTGCATTCCTATAAGACAATGCTTTCAAAAACATTGTCTTTTTCCCATCACCTCACTGTTTCGAAACTCAGGGTGGTTCCCCACATCTGAAAGGATCCCATTAGCTTTCACAGAATGTACTTCTCAATATGACCCTCATCTGCTTTTCCAACTCATGTCCAGATTCCCCAGTGCAAACTGTCATTCCGGCCAAACCAGCGTGTCCGTTCCCCAAGGTGTCCATTGCCCCTAGACAAATGTCATAATTGCACCTGCCTTTGCTCACATTGGTTTGACAGGGAAGATATATCCCTTTGGTCATCTATACTTACCAAATTTTACCTAGTCCCTGGAGCTTCATTTGCCTGTTTCACTCCTGACTGACACTGCCTTCCACTAATAGCATTAATAGTAGACCAGCATTGTCCAATGGAAGTAAAATGAGAACCACATGTATAATTTTAAATTTTCTAATAGTCATATCAAAAAAATCTAAAAAGGTAGAATTAATTTTAACATACATCTTATCTAATATATCCAAGATACTATTATTTCAATATATGAGCAATGTAAAAATTAATGACATATTTTCCATTCCTTTTTTTCTTTTAAAATTTATCTTTATTGTTGAAATATTACAGCTGTCCCCCTTTTCCCTCCCATTGACCCCAAAGTTATCAAAATATGATGCATATTTTACACTTAACAGCACGTCTCAATTCAGACCAACCTGTTTTCAAGCAGTTAATAGCCACATGTGGCTAGTGGCTACCGTTTCGGACAGAGCAGGTCTAGACCACTCAGTTTAACAATTATATATAGAGTTATATTGTTTAAAAAGCTTGTGTGTGTGTGTATGTTTGTGTGTAAAATTTTCTTGAGGGGAGGAAATGTTTAATATTTCATAGGTTCCTCCATGATTAGCATTACAGAGGCACTGTGTGTGTGTGTGTGTGTGTGTGTGTGTGAGTTATATAAGACGGATATTATGGTAGACATTGGAGATACAAAAATGAATGAAACAGTCCTCATATAAGGATCCCACAGTCACTTTAGAACCAGAGGGATAATTAGAGGGATAATTAGTGAAAGCAAGGAAAGAGATCCCTAAGCTTGTGGGGCTCCAATTCTATGTCCTTATGACACCTGCTGCCTCTGATCTCCTAGCTTCCCGAGTTGGTCATTGGCTTGACATATGGGTTGTTAAGCTACCTGTGGTTTAGTCCAGAAACCATCCGGAAAGGTGGGAAGTCATACAACCGTCACATTTTTCTTTACAATATTCTTGGGTCAAATAAATACATTAGATAACTGAAACAATTACGGCTGACCCTTGAAAACACGGGAATTCTTTTCAATAAATACTGTAAATATATTTTCTCTTCCTTATGATTTTCTTAATAACATTTTATTTTCTCTAGCTTACTTTATTGTAAAACTACAGTGTATTATATATATATGTATATATATATATATACATAAAACATACAAAATATGTTAATTGACTATGTTACTGGTGAGGTTTCCAGTGAACAGTAGGCTATTAGTAGTTAAGTTTTTGGGGAGTCAAAAGTTATACACAGGCTTTTGACTTCATGGAGGTCAATGCCCCTCTAAACCATTACCATGTTGTTCAAGGGTTAATTGTAGTTACATTGTCATAATAGAAACAGACTAAAAAGTGTAATACCGATTTTCTGCTTAAACATCATCATGAGAGGGGAGGCTGGGAATCTCCCTGGCTCACAAGGCAGCCTATTCTAATTTTAGATACCTTTCAATTTTAGAAAAGTATCTAAATTTCTTCCTTGATATCTACCTCCCTGTAACTTCTTGAAGCCCAATTATCTCAATTTTATAGATGAGGAGGTGAGGGAAACTGATGCCCAGGCTAACCCAGCGTATTACTGATAAACTGAGGAATTAGTATCAGGAAATTTTTTAAAATTCCAAGTGGTATATTTCACTATTTTGCTATTTTCATGTAACTGATAATAAATATTGCGACTTTTTTTTTTCTTTACTAAAATAACACTGTTAAGGAACAAACTAGTCTGTGACATCCAGGCTTTGCTCTCCAGATTCCGCTTCTCTTTTAGCTAAAAGAGCACTACCCAACAGAAGTATTACTCTCTCAGAAAAGTATCATAAAATGCTGTATGTATTTTTCCACCAAAGGCTGGATATGTTTTGCACATAATGACTAAGCATAAACACTGTTTCCTTAATAACCCTCTCAACTTCTCTAGAGTCAAGCATCGCTTTGATTTTAATTCAACAGTCTTGGACTATTTCAAAAACATGTCAGGTATCAAGACCAGGCATGTACAGTTCTTAGCCATATGCTTAACAGATATGTAACCTTGGAAATTAGATCTGGTTCTCTTTCATGTGTTTTAGCTTGTGTATTAAAATGATGAATAAAAACACTACTTTGAAGAAAGTGAGGTGTTGTGGAAAATAGATCTGAGATCAGGGTTATTTGATTCGTTAACTAAAGAAATGCTAAACGGCGACTTTCAAATTCATTTCTCTCTGGTTTAGTTTTCTATGTAAAATACATTAAAAAAAAACAACAAAAGGAAGAAATTAGTAATCTTTACAGTTGCATATTAAAATGTTATTTCCACTGAATTCTTAGACTTTATAATAGAGATTTACAATTACATTTGAAAGTATTTGTTTCCATGGTACCCTCTTAGACTTTGTAATAGGGATTCAGCAATCAAATATGATACTCTCTAACAGAAAAGAAAGAAACAGGGAAAGTTTACAATTATTAGAAGAAAAAGTAGGACTTACCATTAAAATGGTCAGAGTTCCAGCGGTTCTGAAAAGGAGCCAAGTCATTGTCTCTGAGTCCCCTGGCGAGCAAACCCCAGGGAGCTGCTGCTTCAGTCCGCCCGTCCGCAGTCTGCGTGTGTCTCTGCCGTCTGCAGGCGGCTATAGATGGCCTGTTATGCGGTCCCTCCCCTCCCTCACCCGAGGATTGGTCTCACCAGAAATGCTTGAATCACTTTTGCTCCCAGGTAAAAACTTAGACACACCTCAATTCCTAAAGCAATGAAATCCTTTGTTGGAAGCTGAAAGAAAAGTTCACAGGCTAAAGACAACGTTTAATGGGAAGGCACCAGATGAATAATAAATGCATCATGGTGTGGCAGTGCCAAAGCGAGCCCCGACTGCACTGCAAAAGAATCCAGTTGGCCTCGCTCGGGGTACAATTAAAACCGAAGAGCAAAACCAAACACAAAATCCCTCCAAAGAGCTCTTATTTTTAGCCCAGGTATACATAGATTGATCTAAAGTGAAGCAAAATGTAGGCGTTAAATAATAATATATTTTATTGAAAATAACTACAAATCTGAGAAAGAAAACCAGCACATCAAGCAGCTGTAATGTAGGTTTTGAATGAAAACAATTAGAAATAAAATTGGAGTAAACAGTTATATGGTGCCTTGTCTATTTGAACTATAAAAATAATGCATTGCCAAATCAGATTTCTGATAGTATTCAGATGACATCTTTCCTGTTGTATTTCATTTAATTTGTAATTTTTTAAAAGAAGTAGGTTATCTTTGTGCACTTTTAATTACGCAAGACCTTTCCCCTACAGCAGACAACCTGCTCAATGCTATATACTATGCACTTCTAAACAGTTGGACTCCAGCCCAAGTTAGGGGATAGCAAAAAACTACTAACACCATTTTCATTTGATTATAACACTGGAATTAAAAACACTTTTAAATATTCCAGAATATTTAAAGAAAAGCTTGGTAGAAGAGCAATTGTATCTTGATAAGTATTTATGCATCAGGTTTTGGAAACTTTTCAGTTTCAGGGAAACCATTTAATCACAGAATATTTTAGGCAGAAATAATTTTGTTGTCTACCAGCTGGAAAAGAACACTGTGCAGGCAAAATTTTGTGAATTTATTTTGTTTTTAATTGTGGTAAAATGTACATAATGAAATTTACTATTTTAACTATTTTTAAGTGTACAGCTGAGTGGCATTAAGTACATTCACATTGTTATATAACAATTACTATCATCTGTCTCCAGAAAAATCTTGTTTTTGTAATAATCTTTTTGTAAATAAAGCTTTATTGGAACACAGACATGACCATTTGTTTATGTATTGTATTGTGAATGGCTGCTTTTGTGGTACAAGGGAAAGTTGAGCAGAGCTGAGTAGTTGGACGGAGACTATATGTATGGTCACAAAGCCAAAAATACTAACTTATAGAAAATGTTTGCTTTATATATTTACTTTCAGAAAATGTGTGCTGACCCCTGGTTGACACCATATACCTTAATAGTATCTATGACAAATCTGATGGGCGTTGACTCCAACAGAGAAATAATTAGTAAATATTTTAAATCTGCTTTCACTTGGAAAGAAAATGTCTAAAGACCAGGTTTATTTCTTTTTAGAGTTACCTCTAAATTCCATAATGCATATTTTATGCACTTTTTGATTAGAATCAGAAAGTGAACTACTACTGAGTCCTTTACAACATGGAAAGACTGAAGTTCAGGGAAGTCTTTTCTGAATTAAGAAGTTGCCTCTCTGTGACTGGACTAATTAACAAGTATGAAGGGATAGAAGCTGGATGAGCATTATTAAATTTATTAGTGATTTGTATAATGCAGAATTCAGTGATCTAAATGTTGGTTACTTTCTGAATTTAATATTTGAATTTGTTTAATAATAGTGAGAGTTTTGGGTTTATATGTTTATATATTGTTTTTTTTCCCTTATATAATGAGAGGAAATACATATGCATAGGCAAAGGCTAAAAGGTACCACCATAACATACTAGGACTTATTTTTTTAAATTATGGTTTTATTGATTTCAGAGGGAGGAAGGGAGAGGAAGAGAGAGATAGAACCATCAATGATAGAGTCATTGATTGGCTGCCTTCCATACATCCCCTACTGGGGATCAATCCCGAAACCTGGGCATGTGCCTTGACTGGGAATCGAATTGTGACATCCTGGCTCACAGGTATTTCACTTTTGTATTTTGAAACACCATCTAAGAGTTCTGGGTTGAGTACTGTATAAAAGATGGGGCACCCCTGTAGGAGAGCAATATACCATTTTTGGTCTGGTGCAGGCTGGCGTCATCCCCTGTCCCAGTCAAAGAAGACTATAAAGAGTGATGACAAATTCCATTGTGAGCTCCATGGGCAGACAGGGCTCTACTTTTCTGTGTGCTCTTGACAGTGCTTTAAGCCAACACTTTCTTTCCTTTGGAGGATTGGGGGCCTTGGTAAGATAATAAAGCATCCTGGTGTTGGGGACACATTTTCATGGTGGTAGGAAGGTATTCCGCATAGTGCCTTCTGGACTAAGCAGTATTTTCACTTGCTAGTTCATTTGTTTGTATAAAGGAAAGAAGGGAGAATTTTCCAGTGGTTTCTGTTGAGTGGTTATCTTATTATGCTCTGGATAATGGCTTTGGAAATCTAAGCCCAACTTGAAACTGGCTCTTACTCAAAAGGCTGAAATAAAAATGAGGATCCTAACAATAATAATCATAATCATTAAAAGGGAGCTTCACTGTATGTATATATTGTACTTTACCTGATTACACCATATTGAAAGTATAGCTGTTGAACAGTTTCTTTAAAAAGTCAAAGAAACCTTTGCAGGCATTTGAACCATGGTGTATAGAGTGAAGCAGTAAGAATGAATATTTATTCAAGGTCACAGTGGCTTCAGAGGTTTCCATGATGTTTCCAGTGCTCATTGTCTGCAGCAGTTCTATCATTCATCAAGTAGAGCATGTTAATGAGACTTCTCTTTCACTGGCAAGCCTTCACTGGTCTTCGTTTGTTTTGACTGGAAGGATATATTTAACATGTTTTATATGTCAGACATTATGACTTTTAACATTTAATTGTTTTTGCATGTCTACACATTCATGAATTAAGATATAGGACTCACAAATTATGCATTAACAAAATTATACATATACCCTGAAATGACCTGCAGGGGTTGTGGTCATTACTTTTTGTTATTCAAGGTAATGGAAACCCTGCATTTCTTCCATTAGGATCACCACCCTAAGACATCTAGAAATGTCAGAGAATATAATAATTGTGAATCTGAAGAGAACAGTCTGCACTTTAATAATTAGTGAGAATAGACCTGGTAACCCAATTTCCCATTAGGGGATGGTATGTAACACGTTCACCATGCTTCTGTGATTCCTGGAGTTATTTTTTCTTTAAAAAATTTGTATAATCTTTTTATCATATATTGCATCAAGCCTGAACTTCAGAATGGTAAATATGGGTGAATGCACATTTTTAAAAAAGCTTTACTTGTGTCATGGACCAGGGTCAATGTCTTTTTGCTTTGACTTGGTTTGATTAAGCAATTGCTTACTTGCAGGAATATTTTTGTAAGGTAATAAACAATGTGAAGGAGGAACTTCCAAATGCACTTCATTCAACAAAGTGTTTCTTAGGCAAAGCTTTTCTTTGGTTCTTGTGGTATGTTGCAGATAGAATTGACAAGGTGAGATCGATCTACTGACAAAATGTCTTTAGAATCCATCTAGCTTCCTCTTTCTCTGGGCTTCCTCCACACGAGCCAAATTCCTGACATTTCTCATGTAGCCTGGTCAATGGGTCTATGACTGAGCTTCTTGCTCCTTCCTCACCTCACCCAATCTACCCCTTACTCAGCAACCTGAGTGCCATATTTAAAAGGATGTGGCTTCCAATGTACTTGGAACAGAATCAAAACTGCCTGTCATGGCTTAGAGGGAACTAGCCTGATCTATTCCCTCTTTTCCTCTCCAACCACATCACACAATCCCTCCCTCTCACATGCACCTTCTTTTGTTCTTCTAAAACCCCAAGCTCTTTTTCTGCTTCAGGTCTTCGCTTAGTTTCTCCCCCCTCCCTCCTAGCTGGTTTCTCATTCATTAGGTGGTAGCTTATGTGACCTTCTCAGGGAGGTCTTCCTACTCCCCCTGTGTGGGCACGCTTATCTCCATTTTTTTTTTTTTTGGTTATTAGTCATTCCAATTTGCTTTCTGTATAGGGCTAAGTAATGTGTAGGTTGTTATTTCTTTCTTGGAAGGACTGCTTATATTGCCTTTCTCCACCACAGGACTGTAAGCTCTATCAGTGAGGAGTTAAGTTTATTTCATTTAGTAGTATATTCCCAGGACTTTGTAGAGTGAATAAATGAATATATCTTAAATTTTTGTGCAAGTATAGCTGCTGGATCAAAGGGCACATATAATTCAAGTTTTTAACAGATTACCATCTAAAAGGCTATATATACCAATTTATATTCCTACTAATAGTGTAAGAAAATGCCTGTTTCTCCTCCCTGTAAGGCATAAAGTTTGTTATAGGTAATTCTTTTCTACTTCTTTTACGAGAAAATAGTACTCTTATAAAAAATATATATTTTAGCCCAGTTAAGAGATTTAAGTGTTTATTTGAATACTAATAATTTATTAGATTATAATAAATTAAAATAAGATTAAGATGTGAGTATAGCAATCTAAGAAGCTGAACTCAGAATAGAGTAAGTTATGGATCTTGGTTAGCTCCAAAGGCCCTGCATCCCTCCTGAATCTAGCACCATCCTGACTTCTTCACCATCTCAGTGATGTGATGAGAAAAGGCATGACAATCAAACATGCAGAGTCAAATATTAATTTTCTATGCTCTGTAGTTATTGTCACGATCCCTTTATTTATATATTTTTAGTCTTCATTTCTATGATAAAGAGAACATTTTACAGAAGTCCTCAAGTACTTTTAAGTATCATGGGAGCCATTACTTATGTTTTCCTAGCACTCAGATTGTACCAGTGTTATTGGTAATTC